CAAGTCCATAGATTTATTTAGCTCTGTATGACGCATAAAAAAGCAACCCATTTTCAACCTTGTCCCCATTTTCATAGAATGACACACCAGTTCGCATTAGGCCTACCACTAAAAGATGCAACAATCACGCCATATTCCAAGCTACAGCAGTCTAACAAGTCAACAGAAGTCTGTAATTATTTTTACCAAATTTCGTTTGCCGGCTGAGATCATGGTTAAGTTTAGCAAAGAGCAGAGAGCTTTTTGTATTGAACATTACCTCCCCATAAACTCGCCATCCCTGACATTTCGTAAGTTCTACGAACGACATGGAAAAAAATGCTTGGGTGCCCTCAGGACCTTTAGTGTCATGAGTAGAGAAATTCCATCTATAGCGAATCAGAACTAAAAATCTAATTTAAAATGACCACTTCAGGTCGAACACGCACCTTGCGCAGCCCTTTAAACGTCACCTGGGTGCAGATTTCAGTAGTTGAGTCCCATGAGACGTCTGTGCGTAGACGATCTGCGACTTGGACTTTGCTACACCTCAACAGATCTTAACTGTACCATTTTCATCTTTGCTAGGCCGAGATGACATAGATTAGAGCATGGCAATGTGTTCATGATTCCTCGAGTGTCTTAAAAAGCGGGATCATTTTCTCAATGACATTTGGTTTAGTGTAAAGCCTATTTTCACCCTGTGGGATATGTTAACTTCAAAAATGCTATTTACAGGGCACCCACTCCCTACTGTCTTTTGAAGCCACTTCATACTGAATATGTACAAGGTATGTGGCTTTAAAAGCTCATGGTTTAGCAGGTCCTTGTGTTTGGGCGCCATTTAACATTTCGAAAGACGCGTTAAAAATGTGCCGAGTCCAAAGGAGTGCATGTACTGCTTCTAGGAATTCCATAATGAAATCGTTAGTTCTTTTAAATCTGTAAAAGAAATTAGATATTACTTAGATGTTACAGGAATGAAAAATTAAACACCAGAGAGAAAATAAAGAAAAATTCTACAAATCTTTTCACAAATTCCTTTACAAGATTTTAAAAATTGGTGAACTTTGCGTTTTGGGGCTCTTTTTTCACTTTAAGCCATTTTTGTTTTGAAAATAAGTTTCTTCTTCTTGGATTTTAGGTCAAACAAATTCCTTTTGGGTGAATTATGTCTGGTCCAAATTATAGCATTCTAGAACAATTTTTGCGCGAAATATTCAGAAAAAAAGTTGTACCGTTGGTTATTTTTTTCATCACCCTGTATGTTTATTTTTTGATATAATATAATGTTATTATGTATGTACGATGTATAACCTTCTTCTTCTTCTTCTTCTTCTTCTTCTTCTTCTTCTTCTTCTTCTTCTTCT